CTGGCCAGGGATGTGCTGCAGTGGCCAAGCCATGGCTCTGTCTGCACGGGCCTGGAGGGAGGGTCCCAAGCCAAGGGTGATGGGAAGGGTCCCAGTGCCCCAGGAGGTGACCTGGGAATAGTCCTCTCGTGAGCCCAACCTGTGCTAGAAGGACTGGCCGTGGATGCTGGTGCAGTACTCCACGTAGTCAAACTCCTCGACAGGGAACGTCACGGCACTCCACTTCTTGTACTTCCTCTTCTCAGCCGGTGTCTCCACCACGAAGTTTTTGATGCAGAGGATGGGCAGCTTCACCTGCCGGTAGATCATCTCCATTCCCCAGTCCTGTGTGGGCAGGGAGGGGACAGTCACACACCCGCAGCGCAGCACCCCTGGGCTGCAGGGCCACACACCTGGGATGGAGGCAGCTCCTCGCTCCCAGAGCACATCCCCTTTGGAGACAGCTGTGGCACAAGGCATGGTCCCTCCTGCCCCTCCAACGTGACAGGGCTGCAGCCACGGGGCCATTGCCACGTGCCACACTCACCTGGCTGCACTCGCTGCACACGATGCGGCAGCCGGGCTCCCAGTCCCTGAAAGTCCGCTGGAGCTGAACCTTCCCAGGTAAGACCCTGTAATACAACCTGCAAGGAAGGGGCCAAAAGACACTCTGAGGGGGATGCTCCAGGGGACAGAAGTGGGGTGGCACTTGTGCTCCTGTAGTCACACAGTCCTACAAAATGACCTCTCTGGACCAGTGTCCCCAAGAAAGAGCTGGCAGCAGGCTGTGCCACCCCCCACCCATCCTGGGTGGAGAGTGCAGCAGCTCGTGTGAGTGATGCCCGAGAGCCGGGCTCTGCCCGTGCGCCTCTGCCAGCACCCAGGTCCTACCCGAAGTTGGGGTTGATGTTCACGTGGTGCATGGCCTCCACGGTGCGGATGTCACTGCCGCGGCACACCGCCACGTTGCAGTTGACGCAGTAGAAGTGAACAGCGTCCGGGTCGTGCAGCCGCCGCCTCTCGCTGATCCTGGCCTCCTTCATCAGCCAGCTGGTAACCGCCGCTTGCTGCAGCTCCATGATCTGCAGAGGGCAGGGGGAGGCAGGATGGCAGAGAGGACAGGGATCAGCACAGGGAACTGGGCACAGAGAGCAGGCACGGCCGGCATACGTGGCCTTAGAGAAATGCACCATGCCGGAGAGTGTGAGCCACACGGCAGGATGGGCACACACTGCCCCGGGCACCTCGCACTACCTCCTGCCCCAAGGGAAGAGCTGGCAGCCAAAGCCAGGGTGCAGAGGGCTGTGCCCAGGCAGCAGGCGCGGGACATTCCTGGTGCCCAGGGCAGTGCCCAGCGCTCACCTTGAGGCGATACTCCTGCTCCGGCATGGCCTGCACCGCTCTGATCGCCCTCTCCATGAGCTCCACAAGGTCCTCGTTGAGCTGCTCGCGGAAGACCTCCCTGCTATTGGCCTTGGCGAGGATGGAGTAGACGCTGTTCTCGGCACGAGCACGGCCCCGGGCCTGCAGCAGACGGGCAAAACGCTGCACTCAGCAGAGGAGGGACATGGCCGACCCCCCTGCCTCTCCGTGCCACCCTGGGAGGACAGATCC